TCCGTACTGACCAATCATCGATGTACACGACAGATTCCCGACCAAATTCTCTCGTCAATCAGCAACCAAACCAACCAATTCCCAACCAGGATCTTGACTTGTCCTATATTCTTCGCAATGTAATACAAAAGACACCAATCACCAACAATAACGTAAACCCTGGATCAGAGACACCGAGTACCTATAATAATGTAAACCCTGGATCAGAGACACCAATCACCGACAATAATGTAAACCCTGGATCAGAGACACCAATCACCGACAATAATGTAAACCCTGGATCAGAGACACCAATCACTGACAATAATGTAAACCCTGGATCAGAGACACCGAGTACCTATAATAATGTAAACCCTGGATCAGAGACACCGAGTACCTATAATAATGTAAACCCTGGATCAGAGACACCAATCACCGACAATAATGTAAACCCTGGATCAGAGACACCAAGTTCCTATAATAATGTAAACCCTGGATCAGAGACACCAAGCACCAACCAGGATCTTGACTTGTCCTATATTCTTCGCAATGTAATACAAAAGACACCAATCACCAACAATAACGTGAACCCTGGATCAGAGACACCGAATACCTATAATAATGTAAACCCTGGATCAGAGACACCCAATACTTACAATAATGTAAACCCTGGATCAAAGACACCCAGTACCTATAATAATGCAAACCCTGGATCAGAGACACCCAGTACCTATGATAATGTAAACCCTGGATCAGAGACACCCAGTACTTATAATAATGTAAACCCTGGATCAGAGACACCCAATACTTATAATAATGTAAACCCTGGATCAGAAACCAAAAACTACCAAACACCATTAGAGCCAAATACTCCAAACGAGAAGATTCTTAATCTTATTGATGTTCTACATTCCCTGAACATTACACCACAGTCTATAGATCTCCTTTTGGACAAACACCCCGAAGATCCATCAATTTCCAAAGGCTATGGGACACCTATGAACAGTGAACCAAATCCAATACACTATGCAGATACTCAAACACAAACTGGAAATGCTCTTCCATTAAATCTTGGTAGTCAAAACAAGGGTAAAACTATTCATTATGGAACCTCGCCAGATAGAAACAGTCCATCCAACCAGGTTTTAAATGTTGGAGGTTACAGCGGATACAACAAAGAACAACCTAGCGTTCCTCGTGTTGCTGTTCCACCTAGAGGTAAGCTAAGATTTTTTCTTTTTGTGTACAATTATATTGGAACCTATGTAGTTGAAGAAATATAATTTTGTGAAAAAAAACTTCACCTTTTTACATAGAAAATTTTGCGATTGAGCTCAAATACTATGTAACAGACAGATCCGCCATTTTCGTGGGTTGATTTCGATCTTGAATAATTGTAAATAGTCTTCAGAAATATTAAAAATTTGGAAAAAAATCG